GGGGATAAAGCAAGGACTATGGGATATTATATGACCCCACGGGTGGTGGACATCCCACTAAGCATCCTACACCCACCGTGGCGGTCAATAATTTTGAGATCAAGACTGGTCTCGTCACCATAATCCAAAGGAATATCCAATACCATGGTCTTAAAGATGAGTCCCCAAGGGACTACATCAATAGATTCTATGAGTTGACAGATGGTTTGAAGACTAAGAGAGTGCTGCAAGATTCTCTTACGTTGAGATTCTTTCCCTGCTCCCAGAGTGCCAAGGCATGAAGTTGGTTAAACAATAGTCCTCTACTCTCAATAACATCTTGGAACGACTTGTTCACCAAGTTCATGAATCGCTATTTCTTGCCTCCCAAGACGAAGGAGTATCGGAAGAAGATCACCCACTTTTCTCAAGATGATGATGAGACTTTGATGGATCCTTGGGAGCGCTACTCCAAAATCTTTCTCCAATGCCCACATAATGGTTTTGGTGAGAAATTCCTTATTGAAACTTTGTACAATGGTCTCTTTCAAGAAGACCTGACGCTCATTGATTCCTTATGTCAACGAATATGTTTAAAAAGACTCCTATAATGGTCACAACATCTATCGCGCATCCCTAGTGGCGCATTCTCCTCGGCCTTGATGATCGCATCTACCGAGAGTTGTGCTAAGAGTTTTAGTCCACCTTTGTGCACGAGCAACCCCTAGGCCTGTGCGCCCAGCCTTATGTGGCGTTTGTGTTGGGAGGAGTGCACCACACCATTGGCTACAACACGTTGGCCATAGATTTTGGATTTCACACCGGGATCATGATGGTCTCGAAGCAGGCATACACCTGGGATTGTGGGTTTCAATCCATGATCTTTCTCGCAACTTCGACCAAAGGGGTGTGATCCAACTATCAAGACCTTCTCCCTCATTCCTCGTGCGATCTTTTGGTCGACTTTGGAAGTTCTACTTCTCAGTCGTTATGCATGCTTTTTCGGCTGCAAACTTGGTATTTTCCTCTTTTCCTACACTTGTGACTCCTTTGTGTGCATAAACCACAAGTATCATCTAATACACCCTAAAATGAAATGAATTACTCTAAGAAACAAATTCAGGATACATTTGATGAAATATGAACCATAGAGACCATGAAATTTCCTGGAAAGATGTAAAATATAGAGGCTAAATAACAACTTTTAGGGTGTTATCGACTGCTTTGAGAGGTTATCAAGCTTTCCTCCAAAACTTAGATTCCCGAATCAGTAATCTTGTCAAGATACTCAATGAGAGATGAATCGCTCTAACTACAACTTCCCAATCGAAGGTGAAGCATAACCAACGATCGGGTGTAGCATAAGGTAATCAAGTAATAAAATTATTGGACCACGGGTCTCTAGGTGTACCATACTGCAACTTAAGGTTTTGTAATCTAGCAAACCTAGAATAGTGATTAAGAAACTAATCTTACTAAACTAACCTAACCATTACCCTAGATAATTACAAGTTATGAGCTCTCTTACCTTGAATCACGCATTTCTATCATTAGGACCGATGTTGTGTACCATCCTAAGAGATCGACTCCCTCGGGAATTGACCCGGACACCCTGTACAACTTTGCAATGGATTGGTAGGTGCTCTATTCACCCCAGGGAAACCCTGTATCATTAGGAGATCAATCACATTGAGTCCCTCCAAGGATTACCCGGATGTCATATAATGAGGAGTGACCCTAATTGCCAAGAATGGGCTAAAAGGGGGTTTTCTCTTTCCTAGGTCAAAAGCTCAATTGACATGTAATGAAATCCAAAACAACATAATCCATAACAAACATCTATCACATACATAATATGCACCATAAAATATAAGATTTGTCACATACATCAACATCTAATCAAAATATAGACCTAGAGTTCTTCAAACTAAGAGAAGAGGGCTAATTCATAGATAGAAGGGAGAGAGAGATTACAAAATAGCTCAAGATCCTCATCTTCGTCATCTTCTAGGCTTGAATCCTTGACTCTAAGATCAACCCAAGCCTCCAATTAAGCTCCAAGATCTCTCTCTCTCTCTCTCTCTCTAGAATGCCTCTTTGGTGTTTTGGGTCGGAACCCTAAAGGAAGGACCAAGCTCTCCTCTTCTTTCACACAACCAATAACCACATGTTCCAAAATTCCAAACCACAACCACTCACGAACACATTGACAACATATTTTCTTTGCTACCACTTCTATCAAAACCTTTTAAGCACAAGAGTGAAGAAGGTAAGCAATCATGTATGTGTCTCTAAGCTTGACTGTTAAGAAACACTCTTTTGGAGCATGTGGTAGACACATATTTATACTATCTAAAGTTGATCAATCTATGCCTACCAAGGCCTCCAAGCACATATATATAAACATAAGCATATATTCTTCAATCCTAATACTAGTCAAGCAATGCCCTAGCCATAAGGCGGTTAAAGTCTCATAAACCAAGGTAGAATATTCAAAATATGACAAGACAAAGTAGATAAAATAGATTTCTGACATTGGAACATTCGATGACAATATTGAAAGGTGACTTAGCTTCTCAATAAAATATGAAAGTATCCAAAAAAAAATTGGAGTTTTGGGGTGTTTGGTTGAGTTGTGGTGAAAATGGGAGATAAACTAGAGGTTTTAGAGGTTTGGAGGAAATGGGTGAAAATGAGTTCTCAGATTGGATCTCCACTTTAGTGGTTGAGGACTAGATCACAAACATTTGTCAATAGTTCATTGTCGTAAACTATTGCAAAGGTCGCTATCTGCCGAAACAGGGGAAAAGATCATAGGACAAGAAGGTGAGATCGTGACCGCAATCTTCCATTTGGAGCCTGCAATTTGCTCTTTGGCATTATGAAATGCAACTATATGGGCAACCATTTCACAAGAAACTTATAGCCTTCAAATAATCATTCATACATACTTGACAAGGCAAGGTTTTATTCACTACTTTAAACTACAAATATTCCTTACAACAATTCAATCATGATAGTCTATTATTATAAAAAGGTAAGAAAATGCAAAACGATTATTGTGATACCTCCCAACTAGTGGTCTTTTGGTCGTTTAGCCGGACTCATGCATCATTAGGAAGCTTAGCAAGAAGAGCTTTCCCAAACTCCTCAGGTCTTTCGTTGTATAAACTCATGTGATTCAATCTGAGGCACCAACCATGTAGGAATTGAATGCCCCCTCATCAAAAGTAAACTCAAGGCTCCTCTCGGGGATGATGGTCGTCCTTGAGAGATCTTCCAATCGATGTTAAAAAATATTAACCGTGAGGGGCTTAGAGCACTCCCGAAAACAATTTAGAAATGATATCTAAAATATGTATAAAATGCATGTCATGACAACCCCCTTCAATTACTCCCATAATTTTTTCTTTGTTGCTTTCTATTTCATGATTTTTGGTTTAACTGTTTTACTTTCTTTTAATTTTTGAAACTCGAAATCAGTGGCTCCTCTTGGGGCTCCTCTCGGGCTAGTTCATGTAGTTTGCTGCGATCCGGTGTAGATCGTTCTGATGTCCAACAAACTATGCCAAACTCTTGTATTTAGTTTAAGTAGGATATTGTTGAAATTGTTTATATAAATCTAGTATTTTGGGAACATTGCAAAAAACACAAACTCAATGTCTTACAAAATTATTTTTGAACGCACGTAGTAGTGGGGAGTAGATCCCCTCAATAACTTACACGTGAATACACATGCATAACTGTCCACTTCCCATTTATCGTACTAACTTGGGCTCTAATTAATTTTAACAAGATATATCTTTTTTGTTTTAAGTTATCGTTTAATATTTTTTGCACAAAATATCAGGTTAATTGTACTTTTCAAAATAACATCCACTTTTCTATAATTTGGAACAAAAAAATTTAAGATATATATCACCAGTCTATACCATGGTGGTAATGTTAAATAGTACATATATAAAATTATACCATGGTAGTATATATGAAAGTGTACATTGATGGTATAAATATATCGTAGTGTAAAATAGTTGTATACATGCTAACACTAATATACTAACTATTATTTACCACCTTTCATCACCATGTACCATACTACAACCATTATTCTCCTATACCATGGTGGTATACAATGGTATATTTGGTCCTGAATTCTTATTGTCAAGAAGTTCAACCCAATAGATCACGATAAACATGTTCGTTCTATCCAAAAAAAAATTAATTCGAGTAAAATCGAAGGTGATATATAGTGGTGTTAATGTGCAACAAGTGGCATAGGTGGTACAAATGAAATTTCTCAAAATATTGAGAATTAAAATAATTTGATGGATCACAACAATTTGTTCTATTTGTGAAAGATTTTTTTAAAATTCAAATTAAAAAAATATAAAAACCTATTAAAAATAAATAATAAATAAAAGATTTTTCAATCTCACCCTATAAATATCACCGTACTTAATATGAAAACGCCAAATTTAATTATACTTAACAAAGAGATATTGAGTATTGACCCTATCATACACACACTTGCTGGGGTCGGATCAGTGATCACCAATTAGAGGTGGCAATTGGATCGGATTCGTGGATTCGTGGATTGGATTGGTGGATCCATGGATCAAATGGATTGGATACAATGGATTGGTGGATTCATGGATTGGATCAAATGGATTGATGGATTGATCCATGAATCCAAATGACATCCAAGACTTGGACCAAAATGTAAATTTTGAAAAGTTTTGGTACAAAAATGTCATAATGAAAAATTTTAGGTACCAAAATGTAATTTTCCAATGATATTTTTCGTATAAAAATATAAATTTTAGGTACCAAAATGTAAAATATAAAAAATATAGGTACCAAATCGTAATTTGCCATTAGGATCCATGGATTGATCCATGAATCCACCAATCCAATTGGATTTGGATCAAATGGATTTGATTTAAATGGATTGGATTAGGTGGATAATTTGGTGGATGGATTGGATTGGATTCATGGATTTAGATCCTAATTGCCACCTCTATCACCAATCCATATAGGCATGCTCCTTCTTCACATTGAATTTTCAATTTTTTTTATTAACCATATAAGCAATTTAGTACATCTGCCGGATCAATCCGCGGAAAGTGGTAGGTAGCTAGTGAGATAGATAGCCAGCTAGGCTAGGCTAGGTAGCGGCCGGTCTGGTCAGCGCATAACTCTCGGGGTATTACAACCTTTAATTTAATTATTATTATTATTGTCCGGTCTGCCCAAAAAGGCAAATCCACAAAGCAGAAAAGAAAACTCAAAAAAAGGAAGCCGCGTCGACACGGAAATCACCGTAATGATTGAAGAGAGTCCTGCCATGCTCATCATCACCGTCCAATAATCCTCCAGCTCCATGCTGATATTCAAACTGATGATGGCCATACGCATCATCAGCAGCCACCTGGTTGTCGACTACGTAACCACCACCGCAATGAGGATCATCCGCCGGATCGTTGTTCCTACTGGCCGACGTCGAGGGACCATCGAAATCCATGAAGTTGTGCTCATCCTCCGCCGGTGCTCGGAACGCGTCGTGGAAATAGGCAGGGGAATGCAGAGCGGCGTGGGAGCCATAAAGGGATGGGAGCAGCGAAGAATCTTCCTCGTAATAATGATAAGGCTGCTCTTGTTTCTCTTTGCTGGTAATGCTGTCGGCCAGGAAGTCCATTATTAGAGGGTCGTACTGTTGCGGGTCGTGCCAATCATTGAGAACGTCCAGATCCAAGGACTCGAGGAAGGCCAGCTGGTCAGGCTTAGACGACGCCGTTTGCGCCGGGAGGTCGTTGTTGGACGTGGTGGCCGCGGTGCTCTCCGACAGGCTGGACGCGGAGGCACTTCGGTGCATCATGAGATTGGTACGGTCGCTGGCGGCGGCGGAGGAGAGGATGGACTTGAGGGTGTTGAGGCAGTGCAGAGGGTGGGCCAGCCGGCTGGCCATCTTGTTGAGCAGCTTCGCCGATGAGCTGGATGACGCGGGGCGACGTCGCGGCTTAGTGGGAGCGTCGTCTTCCACGACGCCGTTTGCTCCCTCTTCTACTTCATCTTCCTGTTCGGCGCTGAAGCGGCTTGATGCGTGAGGAGGAGGAGGAGCGAGTTTGGCGGCTAGCTTGTTGAGGAGCTGAGCCGAAGCCGAAGCCGAAGCGGGAAAGGAGGAGGAGGAGGAGGAGGACACGTGGGCTTGAGCAGGAACAAGTTGCGGTTGTTCTTGTCCAGCAGCAGGTGGTGCGGTTGGAGTGTTGTTGCCGGAGAGGGACGGAACGGCGTCGTCAGAGGAAGAGGAGGACCCCGCGGTGGGGCTGATGGGCTTGTGGGTGGTTGGATGGATGCCCTTTTCCAAGAGGCGCTTCTTGAGATGCGTGTTCCAATAATTCTTGATCTCGTTGTCAGTTCGCCTGGGAAGATGTCTGGCAATGGCGGACCACCTGCAAGTGAAAGCCAAACCCACCACAATAATAAGAGATAAGGTCCTTCCGTCGTCTTCTCGCTGGCTCATCTATATATACTTTTTGCTGTTCAAAATCTTTTTTTATTTTTTTTTTCATTTAAATTATAGATACATACATGTAATAATTGCCCAATTGCATGGTTGTCAACCGGTGATATTTCGACCGGTACAATCGGTATCTATTACAAAATCGGCTGAAATGTTTTGGTGAAGATCGATTTTCCACCTCTAAAGAAAACGATGTTGTTTTAGCAAATTTAATTATCAAACAATTTTTTTTTAATTTAATAGTTAGATGTTGATGTTATTTTTTGAATTCAAGTATATATGTTTAGATGTTTATGTTATTTGTTAGATCCAAGTATAAACGTTAATATGTTGTCATTAAAAATATTGTGTCTAAATATGTTGTTATTTCATTTTGTTTGAAATGTTGTATTTTTATTTAAATACGATTATATATTTTAGAGAGATTATTTTCAAATATGTTATATTTATGGCTAAACTCATTTAGAATTAATATTTTCTCAATTTTCTACATGTTCAACCAAAATTAGCATGGACTTGCATAAATTGATTGTACTATCAAAGGGGCGATACCACTTGTCAAACAAAGTTGATGGTATAAAGTATAAACCAATTTGAGAAGCTTATTAAGAAGGAGAAAGAAGGAGGAGCTAGAAGCTATTTTGTTTTTATTATTGGGATTGGAAAGCGGGCGAAGGAGGGGTTGTCCACGTCAGGAGGGGAAGGAAGGAAGAAGACAAGGTCTTAATCGTCGGGATTTTCTCTTTACCCTACCTAGAGGAGGATGTGATTTGTTGGGTTATAGGTAGAAAAGGGGCATGCACATGGTGCATTTAATTTCATGGCAGGTACGCCACCAAAAAGAATAACAGTAAAAGCTGAGTCTGAGTGGCCGGCCCGCCCGGGAGATGGACCCGACCCGACCCGACCCGACCGATCCAACCCAACCTAATTAAAGCGGGAAGCGGTGGGGGGTAAACGCAAAATTTGAAAGCAAGTTGCTAGCTGCTCAAGTTGAAGGCAACATCATTACAATGTTGTACAGGAGGGATCAATCATATGCCTTTTGTTTGTTAGTTTGTGTTGGAAGGATATGCGAGGTGTTTTGTTTGTTATGTCAGACAAAATGGTGGGTGGGGTTTCCAGTGCACAGACAGTTTTGGTTAAGGGTGGTCATTATTTCCCCTCTCGCGACTTTTAGCAAGGCAGGCTATCGCTGGTGATACTGTCAGGTCGCAATTAATTAATCTCCTACAAAATCTACAAACCAATAATTTTGAGGTAGATAATATGACAATTACATCAGGACTAGGAGAATCCAAGGACATCAAACATGTTTGATCGTGTCCAAATTAAACCCATGTACGGGGGTACCACTTAGCCTCACCCAAGAGTCACGTATATCAACTCAAGGTCTGTACTGTTACTGTGAGAAAAGTCCAGACAACCCCTCCCCCCACCAAAGCAAAAGAAAAAAGCAAACAAACTACGATGGAACACCATTACAGTGTAGGGGGCGCAACGCAATTATTTCACTCCACAAGCTATTCATTAATCCTATATGTGGTGTGCAACGTAGAAGGAGAAGCAATAATGACCAAAAGCAGGACGGTGAGGATTCCTATTTCTGATGCAGCAGCAGCAGCAGCAGCAACAGCAACAGCAACAACTACTACTATATGGGAGACCAAATTCGGCCGGTTGAGGAGCATTTAAGACTCGTATATCTACGATAGTTGCCAACTTATCAAGGTTGTTATTTTGTGATGCGACATAATAATAGTAATAATAATAATAATAATAATAATAATAATAATAATAATAATAGTTTTTTTTTTTATATTCGGGATTGATTTTAAATAGCGGATGATGAAACTCATGATTGGAATTAAAAACAAGGTCTTAGACATGAAAATGAGATTGGCAGGCAGCAGGGACCACCTTTAAAATTAATTATTAATGAATTGCAATGATCCTAATTAATGTTGGAATCTAAGGGTCCAAATCTGTGAGATTCCAGGGGAGCAAGCAACTTGTATAAAGAAAGCTAAACTAATTAATTGAGGAGAAAATTAAAAGGAAAGGGGATCGGAATGAATGATGAAGTGGATCTTACTTCACGGGCGGGCGGGTACCTGTTGCCAAGGGAGGCATGCAGCTCAATGATCCTGTCTTCTTCCTCGGGGCTGAATTCCCCTCTTTTGATGTCCGGCCTCAGGTAGTTGGCCCATCTCAGCCTGCAACTCTTCCCGCACCTCTGGAGCCCTGCATTCATTCATTCATTCATTTTCTTTACCAGAATTCCGGGTAGCTAGTTGCGGAATAAGCAAAGCAAAGCAGAGCAGGGCAGAGAAGTAGTGATGACCTGCTTTCTGAGGGAGAGTCCGCCATCCTCCCTCGCCGTGCTCTTGAATGTAGGCGATAAGCTTCTGGTCCTCCTCACTGGTCCACGCTCCTTTCTTCAAACCATCCACATTGCAGCATGGAGTTCTCCCCATCATCGATCTCTACCTACCTACGTGCCCCCTTCACATCTACACATTTATATACATACATTAATGGAGAGGAAAAAAGAGAGAGAGAAAAGGACCAACGTATACTCTATGTAGTTGGCCATTTCTAGTTATTTTTCTTTCCCCCCCTCCCCCGGAATGGAATGGGGAATGGAGAAAGCAAGAAAAAAGAGAGCAATTATTGAAGAGGCAGAATCCTGACATTTGTGGTGGACTGGTTGCTTTGCTGCTATTCTTGCTGGCTGCTGCTGCTACTTGGCTGATTATCCTCTCACTTCTCTGAGTGCCTCCCAACTATATAGGTGAACAGTAGTTTCATCCACATACATACTTCATCTCATTGGGAATGCCACATTCATAATAGAGGAATTGCCAAAATGGCAGCTTCTGATGATATATAAATGCACAGAAACAATCATATATCCCCTCCCTGCCCTGTTATTACATTTCTTATTTATTCTTTGTTTGGGTTGCACATACCCAGATAGCGAGAGATAGATAGAGTGTGTGCTTTTGGCGAGAGAGAGAGAGACAGAGAGAAATTGGTAGCTAGAATGTGTGTGGTGTGGTTTACAAGTGAGGGATCGGGTCGACCTCATTACTCATTATATACTTTGATAAGCCCCTCTCCTCTTGTTTTCTACTCCAGTTATTTGCCTTCTTTTAGGGACACTATGGCTTTTATTTTATTCCCGTCCTCTGCCCAATAAGGGTACGCCCCCCCACAGATAGTCACATGTGCATGGGGACAGGACAGCTTCCATTCTCCAGTTCCTTTCACCCACTTATGCTTGTTTCATTAAATTAGATTGCATTCTTCGTTTTCGATTACCATTGTTATCATACTTAAAAACTTTTTATAACTCCTCTATTCAATTATGGACTGATGAAGACATAAGTATTTAGTTCATACTTTTTAGACATTAAATTGGGATTTTGTCTATTTTATATTTTTGGTGATGGTTTGGGTATTATGTGGTAGAGGTGGGCAAACGGTTCGGTAAACCCGAACCGAACCGAAACCGAACTAGTGCTATTCGGTTCGGAATTCGGAAGGAAAATATGGATAGTTCGGAAATTAGGGTTCTTTCAACCGAACCGAATTTCTAATTTCCGACCGAAAAACCGAAATACTATAATTGCAAGCTCCAAATGGTGGATTTTTATGTTTGTAGTTGTTTTTAGACTTAAATATTTGAAATATTTTATGACTTATGTGTTGAAAAGTTTGGTTTTATCATTGATGATGCATATAATTGATATTTATTGTTTATATTAGAGGTGAAAAATAATTTAAAAGAAAGAAAATACAAGTAGCTTCACAAATTCGGTTTTGTGTGAAAAACCGAACCGAATTATAATTCGGTTTAAACCGACCGAACCGTATTATAATTCGGTTCGAATTTGGTTTGAGATTTGGGAGAATTCAGGGATCAGGTATTCATAATTTTGGTTCGGTCGAAACCGAACCGACCGAATGCGTGGTTGTATAGTGATTAAGCTATGTTCCCCTCTTTCCCTTTCCCTTTCCCTTTCCCTTTTACTCTTTTTTTTTTTTTACAAAAGCTAATCATATATATATTCATCAAAAAGACAGTTACATCCTGGAATACAGCCAGGTCTGGAAATCAAAGAAGCGACTCATAGTCAGATACAAAGAAAGGGCCTTTCTAGCCACTAAATGGGCTACCTTATTGTTACCCCGACCTACAAACCGCACACTGAAACCAGAATGGATATGAAAATAATGCATGATCTCCTCAAGTACAGCACCCATATGGTTATCCCTCGTATCTGCACGATTGATCCTGTCTATGATCACCTTGGCGTCTCCTTCTAAAATGATATTCGCATAGCCGAGCTCTATTCCCCACGCAATAGCCTCCCGGAGTACAAACAATTCCACCACCATAGGGTCATCGACCCCCTGGAATTAAACCCCCTTAACGGCTAAGATCGCCCGAGCCGAATTCATCAGAACAATTCCTCCTGCCGAATGTTACTCACGCCTAGTGGCCCCATCCCACATACAAACGATCCTACCAACATCCACTGGACTGAGCTGGGGCACATTTGGGAGATGAACTGGAGGCCTACTATTGGACGACAAGCTGACCCATTCCTCATGCTGCTGATGAAACTGTCGCATCAGCACTGGGATCCTGAATTGTTTCCCTTCAAACACAACCCAATTACGAGACCGCCATATCCGCCAGAGGACAGCCACCACCGCCATGAATAGCGTTGGCTGATTAATCAAAGCCAGCAGCCTCTTAAGAAAGAGCGGGAAGGTTTCTCCAAGACCGCAAGCAGAAACAGCCACTCGACTCTATCATAGGCCTTTTCCATGTCAACCTTTAGAGCCATGTACCCCTTTCTTTCCTCGCGTCTTGATCTTTAGGTAATGCATTAGCTCATGACCAAGGAGGATATTCTCAATTATTTGCCGCTTCCTAATGAACGCGTTCTGACCCTCTGAGATGATACTTGCCAGCATGCAAGCAAGCCTTTCAGCCATGATCTTTGTTATAATTTTATAAACAAACTGATACAAGCTAATTGGCCGCAATTGCTTCATAGTTTCCACATTGTCAACCTTCGGTATCAGAGTTAACCAAGTATGGTTAAAACTGCGGAGCATCCTGCTCATCGTAAAGAAAGAGCATACAACATCAATTATAGAGGGACCCACGATATCCCAGAAGGCTTGAAATTATTTTCCCGTGAAGACGTCAGAGCCCAGTGCCTGTTTCGAGCCCATGGAGAAGACATTTTCCTTACTTCCTCAGGAACCACCTCAGCTGTCAAATTAGCGTTCATCTTTGGCGTGACACTCAGAGCGATGGGTAGAGTTTCCACCCTTCAGTGACCCACTCACCAGATTCTTCATTGACCTACTCACTAGAATTATTACGGAGACCAGACACAAAGTTCCTTTTGCGACGAGTTTCGCGTTACCGTATGGAAGTAGGAAGAATTTTGATCCCTTTTTTCAACCATCGGACCCTGGATTTTTGCTGTCAGTAAATCTCCTCCGCCGCCCATTGGCGATTAAGCTCAATCTCAAGGTTTTTAACCGTGTCCCAGTCAATGGGGTGGCTCAATTTAATTCGATCAATCTCTGCTTGGAGAGTTTTAATGTTGCGCAGGGAATTCGTAGTACCCGCTCTACTCCAATCATAGAGCAAGTGACGAAGTTTCTTGAGTCTCTCCCAAAGCCGAAACATGGGGGTACCTTGAATATCTTCCTGCCAGACATAGCTCACCATGGCCTTGACCTCCGGATTATCAGCCCAGCGGGCATATCAAAGCGGAAAAGGGGTCGACTGTTACGCGTATACGCCTTGTCGGATAGGAGAATGGCACGATGGTCAGACCCTTGATCTGTAAAATGTTTAACCAGAGTTTCCGAAAATTGATCAATCCAGGACTGAGAACAAAGAGCTCTATCCAATCGCTCACGAATGCAAGTAGCACCCATTCGTTTGTTAGTCCAAGTAAATTGGTCACCAAGATAGCCAGGATCATGGAGACCAAGCTCTTGAACAAGATCCCGTAAGCTCAAGGCTTGGGCCGCATTCAACGCCAATCCACCATCCTTTTCACTTTCATGAAGCATGGTATTGAAATCGCCGAAGATAGTAAAAGGAAGGTGAATACTCTCACAAATTTTCTGAAGCTGAGCCAACTGAGCAGCTCTTATTGTAATATTACAACTAATGCAAACAAAAATAACAACATAAGAAAAGTCCTCTTCATTAATTTGCGAGCAAATATAGAAGTTGGAATGAAAAAACACCAAGGTGTCAACCCCGGGGGACCAAGCAAACACAAGACCACCAGATGCATGAATTGCATCAACAAAGAAACAATGAGAATGATGAAAAACTAACCCCCACATATGACGGGACACTACTCTCCGGATCGATCGTGTTTCAGAAAAAACACAAGATCTGGTTTATTAGAATGCAGTAAACCGACAGCAGTTTGGAATGTGAGTGAGGGTCCAATTCCCCTCACATTCCAGGCGAGAAGCCTCATTTATCCGATTGAGGCCACTCATGGCTGGCTATCTCCACCTTATCAGACGCCTCCACGAACAGTTTCTTTGGGGTAGGAGGGTCACCCACTTCCCCCTCCATGCCATCCAGCTCACGCTTCCGATTCAAAACCACTGAATTCAGCAAATTGGTACCATACTCGTTCAGTTCTGGGGCTGGGAACGCGCCATCCACAGCTTCATTAGTGATTGAGAGTCCAGCTTCAAACGCCTCGATCACCCGGGTAACCCGACCCTTAGGGACATGGCCGAGGCTCTTAGACCCACCAGGAGGTGATCTCTTCTTGATCTCGAAGGAAAGGACACCCTCATTGGATTGATATCCATCAGACTTAAGGAGAGATTGGTGACTCGTAGTGGGATCCACATTAGAATCAGTCGGAGCCCCTTTTTTCTGCATATCCCGAGGGAATTTCTTCAGCCGTTGGCATCTGCCTTATACTCTTTCTCAACCTGTGGCGACCTTTTCCTTGCACATGTGAGGGGTTATTAGCACTTGCTGTCTTAGGCAGGGTGGTCAATCTAGGCCCCACCACTCGCGGAGGATACAACGGATCACCCCTAGGGGTATCACTAGCCTCCATTGAAGTCCCAGTTTGCAAGACATTGGTAGCACTTGGTACAATGGGCACCTGTATCGCCCCCTCTCGACCCACCAAACTGCCTTTCAGCGGTTCCATATGCTATTCCTCTGATTCGACCTCCAGGATCAAACGCCGGAGGTAGGATTGCTCCTTAATTTCTGCAGGTGTGTTGTCCGGCTCTCGACAATGGGAGATGGTGGGAGCACGCCCCCCAGCTGATTTTCTAGCTTGTCTCGCTGCGCCCATGCCATGTGGTCCCGCGCCTGGAGGCCTTCTGCCTCTCGACTTAGGGCCCCCAATTTTGACCTTAGGAGACACCTTGACTGGAAACCCCATAGGGCTTCCTAGATAGCCACCTGACCTTCCAAAACCACCACCATTGGGCCGCGGAGCGGGCTCCTTCCGAGAAGGGGGCGCGCAGCGGCTGGTGGAGGTATGCGAGTATGGTGCAGCTCACCCTTATCAATCTCCATTGCCTGATCCCGCACTGGTCTCCCAGTCCCCTCATTTTTTACTTGCACATTACGATTCACCCAAACCGTATTACGTGCACTTCGGTAATTGGAGCTTTCAGCTTCATCATCATAAACCCTTCTGCCAATCTTCCTTGTGGACATATGTGGGCCGAAGCGCTCTTTCTCGGGCGGTGGATCAAAATCGCAGGAACGCTTAGAATGCCCCACCCGGCATCAATGGAAGCAGAAAGTAGGCAAGAACTCGTACTTCAGATTTACCCAAAACTCGCCCAGTTCTTCACTCACCGCCATGGGTTGGGATCGTAGAGGCTTCATAAGATCCACCAGGGCGCGCACCTTGATAAAATGTTCATTCGTCTCATTAGACGCAAAAACACCAGTCTCTAAGACTTGACCAATCCTGCCTTGAATCACTTTCAGCCCAAATTGTCTGGTGCATCAGTCCTCTTTCACATTCCAGAGTTGAATCCGAAATGGAGCAATGGCCATCTCCTCAAAGAGGTTTCGTGAAAT